TGAGAGCTACTGTGATAAAACCCTACACCTACTAGGTTTCTTAAGTGGTTAAATTGGAGACAATATCGATGTTGTTTGTAGTGGGCTACTAGCCCGTCTCTTTGAAATTGTCTCTGAAATTTAAAATGGTTTTAGTGCGGAGCCAAGCCCACATCGGACTCAAATATTCAAGCGCAACACCATGTGAACACCACATATTGAGTAAGGGTAAAGGCAACCAACGGCCCACTACTCGCAAGGCTAACTTAACCACCTACAAAGCTCAATAGGTGTGGGGTTTTATCATAAAAGGCCTTAGTGATATTAGTAATGAAAATCAAGATATTCAATATTAATTAATGATCCAAATGCATAGTGCTATAGGACGCCAAAGTTGATTGCCATTCAACTTCAAATTCAACAAAGAAAGTAGTCGATCTCTCAAAGTCCTTTGGGATCATCCCGACTAAACTATTTGATGAAAGATCGAGTTCATGAAGAGCGGATCCACTGTCCCCAAAGCCCTTGACCTTGGCTTGTGAAACGCGTGAAGACCTTGACTTTGTTTTGGTTCACATAACTAATCAGTGGACACTACAACTTATTTTCCCTATGTGGTGTTTACTGGAGTTATATATATTATAAGGTGGGGGTGTGGGATTGAGAAGGGAGGAGGAAAACTTATACCTGGCTATCATAAAAAATGGTTCCCAAGGCCAATTCTGTGTACATGAGTGTCTTCATCATATTGTTGTTGTTCTCATCCAAAGTTGCGCTTGCCAGAGTTTCCCGTTCTTCAGAAACCAGTTAGTCTCTTTCCCAAATATATATGTTTGTGTCTGATGGTTTTATTTTACGAACTTTAGGATTTAGATTATACACATCTGTCTGATGTTCTCAGGGCACGTTTTGGAGTGATTCTTGGAAAAGCACCTCTCACATGCTTCTCCATAGAATGACCTGAAACCACTTAAAGTGATTATATGGAGAAGTGATTATTGTCATATTTAGAATCACTCCCAAACGAGCCCTTATGCCCGTTTGGTTCAATGTTTAGGAGCTTGGGAATGGGTTTGAAATTGCATTCTCATGTTTGGTAAGTGCACTCTTGGGAATGCAATTTTGGACTCATGGATATGGACTTATCATGTAAGGAGAATTTCATAGCCTTGGCTGAGATTGGGAAATTCCGCACAACCCCCCTCCTCCTCCTCCTCCTTCCCACCCCCCCCAAACCAAAAAAAATATAATCTATTCTCATCTCATGGGATTAGACATGGGAAGTTCATTCCCAAGAAATTCAATCAGCGAACCAAATGAGCCCTTTCCCAAATATATACATATGTGTCAGAAGTTCTTATCGAAAAATGTATTCGCTTATTTTTTTTTTTTAATGTATAAATTGATTTCCAATTCAACTAACTTTTTGTCAGGATGATATTTAAATAGAGGCTGAAAACAGTTTAGATAATTGAACTTTAATCCAATATAGAAATCTCTCTCTAGAAGGGTCATGTATATGTATGCGTACATCATTCAATTGTTTAGCATAATTCGTATTAATAAAGTTTTGTATTATCATTGCAGAACAGAAGACTGGTACAGAATTTGAGAAGATGAAGAATATTAACCTGGCAAAAAAAATAGGCGTACCTAAACATGAAGATCCAGATAATCATGGTCTCCTGCATTAGTAATTAGAGTGATCAATGAATAATTAGAGTGGTCAGCTGACCCTTCTAAAATTTCGCAATTATTGTATATGATTTTATTTTATTTTTATATATGATTGTAAGGATTTGTTTAGGAATATGGGTACAGTGCTTTACTTACATGCACTGATTCCGTTTTCCACAATATATCCAGCGATCAACAAGTTTTTGTGGTTGAGATGGCTTGAGACCTCTCTTCCACTTTTCTTTCTAAGAGTAAGGTGGTATGTTAAAGTCATCGTCTTATAAATGCAATGTTTGGATTTTGTGGTTGAATTTTAATGATGAAATTGATAGAAGAGTTAGCAATAACTTGGATGCTTGACAATGTTCATTCTTTGTTTTTGGCCGTTGAATAATGTTAAATACGATAAAAAACTTGAAGAAATAAAATACAATATTATAATGGTATAGAAGGTTTTCTTATTCATATAGAAACTCCTCCGAGACTTGATGGAATTTCTTCACTACAATCATAGTCTAAAATATTGATAATATCAACGAAATATTGAGGATATTATCGTTTTTTCGAGTCACGAATATTTCAGAATGTATCTATACACATATCGTATAAATATCGATAATATCGAAAAATATCGATGTCAATAATTTCGCTCACACTTAACCAATATTTTGTCAAAATATCGCTATAATATCGAAAATATCGATGTAATGAAAAAAAAAAAGGACACAAAAAAAACACAAAGCACACATGCCAAGGGGATTCAAACCCCTAGCATTTCACTCATCCAAGGCCTTAACCACCGTGTTACTTATGTTTTTGTGATAATATGCTAAAATATGTATATTTATATTATTTTGTTTCCTTGCAAAAATTAGATTTTCACATGAGAATGTGAGTCTTTGATCTTTCCTTTTGAGATAGAATCGAGCGGCACATGGAAAGAATCTGAGACCCAATCTTCAAATGATTTTCTTTATGGACAACGTCAACCATTCTCGGATCCATATGAGTGGCATGTTAACAATTACATACAAAATTATTTTGATGATTTATCATTTGATGACTACTCTTCATAATAAACTTACTCTACACATAGAGATGATGAAGATAGTGAAAAATTTGAACCTTATAAGAACTCTATGTGGTACTAAATCACTCATGTATCTTACATGCAATGTATAAAGTGTAAAATATTATAATAAATCATTATATATAAATGATTATGGTGTGTTTAATCTTCTTTCCTTAATTACTACATATTTTCTACACTCACAGTGTCTGTCAGCTCATTATATAATCCACTTAAATCAGTTAAACCCATCATGCAATGCATTTCCTTCCAATGTTTTGTGATAAACTAATAGATAATTGACTAAATAAACATCCTCCAAAGTTTCAATAAAAATTTCCAAGTTTTTCTTATAATTTCCGTGGTTTTTATTCAATTTTTATCAATATCAATAATATTTCCGATGTTTTCATCGAAATTTCCATATTTTTGGACTACTAATATTTTCGATACCATCTATATTTTAGACCTATGCTACCTGTTAGTAGATTTACCTTGTGCACACTTCCTTGTCCTCCCTTGGCGATGCAAAAGACGACATAGAAACCATTGGTTGATTTCATGTTTTCTCCATACATTTTTCTTCCGTCAAAATTAGATATTGAAAAGGAAAAAAAAAGTCTAGAATTGACTCATCGAATTCGTTGGTGGAAAGATCGAGATATTCAATATCAGTTAATGATATCCAAATTCATAGGGTATAGGACGCCAAAGTTGATTGCCGTTCAAATTCACCAAAAAAATGTCGATCTCCCAAAGTCCTTTGTGACTACCCAGTGGCGAAGCCAGATTTCATGTGTGTGAGGGCCTCTTACAAATTATAAAGAATCCAAAATTCGAACTCACAATACATACAAAAAATAGTATATATATATATATATATCACATATGTCAAGAATTATATTTCTTATTGGTTGCAATTATAATTGTCCTCGACAAAGGGATAGACAAATACATTCTGAGCAAGAAAAATTGCAAGAGATAGACAAAGAGTAGCAATTTAGCAAATATCTTTAAACCTTTCCCCCCATTAAACCCAATAGAAAGAAAAAAAATCAAAATTTCACAAACTAAAAAAAAACCTTAGGTCCCTTCATGCATTCATATCATACATGAAAAAAAATTTTATGTCCAAATATTGACTAAGTATGAAAAATGGTTTTTCGGAATAATCATTTTCTCAAGATAATTTTTGGCGGCTTTTATTCATTACACATCAAATAAAAAAACTTAATTTTATGGAATTTTAGTATGAAGTATATATTGACTTAATGAGCCATCATTTTTAGCCTAAATCGTATTTTGCACTGAAACCGATTTTTCATATTTTGATTTGGTGGGAATTTGATTTTCTAGTATTTTTATTAGAATCCAAATAGGGGGCACTTCCTTATTTACATTGTAAACTTAAGTAAATGTAGTAATATAAAAATAAATGAAAGTAAAATAACAAAGACATTTACTTCAATGTTGAAAATGAAAATAAGGTAATCTATATACCTGGAGTGCACCACCACCAGTTAGGCAAATGGGCAATTTGAAGCACCTCCTTGTGCTTGAATAGGTCCGCCACAATACATGTGGATCCATATCATGCATTTAAATGCAATGAAATTTGATGAAATTGATACATTTTTATTTTTTCGTTAGAAGAAATTGATAGTTGCAACGTGGATGCTTGACAATGTTCGTACTTTGTTTCTGACTAAAATGTATGGAAAATTGACAAGATAAAATATAATATACTAAGGTGCAGAGTTTGAGATTGAGTAAAAGCCTCACACATTTAGGCGGGCTGCAATATATTGATTTTATAATAGTCATAGTATATTTATGATACAGTCCACTTCTTATGATCGTTGGATGAGTAGTTTGGGCATGTGAAATAATCCACACCGTTGCTTGTTGGTTACCGGTTAATTTGTTGCTATAGGTAAAATAAATAAAACAAAAAAAATTGCTCTCTCCTTCAGTCATAGACATTTCAGAGCCGCTCCTCTTATTTTTCTTTCCCTTTGAGTTCGATTCTTTCTACAGCTGCTCCTTTCCTCCTTATGTGACAACGACATAGCACCAACAACCACATCTCCTCTCCTCTCAGGTAAGTCAGTGTCCTCATTCTCATTCTTCTATCTCCTTACATCTCTCTATGAACAGAGCCGCACTACCTCCTCTTTTCTCAGTCTCTGTCTGATTTTGATTCCATCCACAGGCTCTCCTCCTTCTGTGACGACGTAGACGAGACAGGGTCGGCGACGTCATATTCTTTCCTCAATTCCTATCTCATATCAGTTTAAGGTAAGCATCCTCTTCCTTTGAATTTAGGGTTTTTTCTGTTAAATTAGACTTGTTGAATTAGGGCTTCTAAATTGAATTGAGGGTTGAGGTAGATTATTTTTTCTATTAAATTAAGGCTGTCAAGGTGGTTGAGACACTGATGGATTGATAGTTTTTGATTTTCTGGATATTTGGTGGGTCTAATTTATTTGATTTGTTAATCTTTGAATATTGATAGAGAGCCAATGAAATCAATGAGTTGCAGAGGCAAGTCGATGAACAAGTTCTCATAGCAGTGGCAATGGAAGAGGAAGAGACACTCGCGCTTTAACTACCTTGACAAGTTAATTACAGTGTATTTGTCTTTCCTCATTTATTGGAATGTATTGCTCTTATTTTTCTTTTATATATATATATTGGGTTCAGTTCCTTAGTGTGTTTGGCTCCTCTTCCTCCGTAGTAGCAGAAGTTTTTAAGCTGAGAAGCTTTTGTTTTGTGTCATCCAACCATGGTGTCTTACTTGTGCGTACTTCGTCTATAGACAGTACATAAACATTGTTGTAGCAGTGATTAATAACTACAAGATTATCAGCAAAGAAAAAGCAAGCATCTGGAGTCTCGGATTTGTGGCGATTAGATAATGCTCCACATTCAACTTTAAGGCTATATCTGCCTTACATGAAATCAGTGAATGCTCAGCTAACTTAAGACACATATAAGAAGAAGAACTATTGTTGGCTAGTGACAGACATTCAATCCAAGCATATAAATATGAAAAAGAAGGAACCGAAGGGAGAGGGATGATGACTTCTTATGACAGAACATCAATCAGGAATCAGGATAGCTAAAAAGTAAAGAGATGTCTACTATTCAACCAATTATCTTCAGAGTCAATCAATCCATATTGGGATGACAGTCGGGTCAAGCATCCCATATTGTTTTGTCTCGTGCAGGTAAGACTACTTTTTCTCTATATTGGTTGTGTTTGAAAAAACAAAAGGAAATTGGGTTGAATTCCTTAGTGTGTTTTATTTTTTAGTTTCTGGTTTAATTTGTTGGTGGGTAGGCATTATGATTCTGCTTTGGGTTGATTATTTTTTAAAATTTATGTTTCTCTGCTAGCCATTAGTTGATGTGTAGATTTACAGTAGCTGCTTCTTCTTGGGTAATCTTCACCGTACATCCCTCCAGATTTATAACTGCTGCTAGTTCTTGGTTTTTTTATTTATATATTTCATTTTTATGCTTTTAGTTGGCATGTTACTAAATTTTCAAAAAACTTTAATTATGGTTACGATTGAAAATGCTTCTAAGCTGCTTCAGGCCATGGAGTTATGATCTAAATTAGTATCTGCCAAATTGAAAGTTCGACAATGATTGTAGTGCCATTTTATCATATTTGCTATTGTATTGTAGGGAACTTTGATTCCTCAATTCTTTCCACTGAAATACCATTAATCTTTCTCCTGTATTGTAGGGAATTTTGTTTCCTCTGGCCTCACAGCAAAGACTACGTAATTTGGATTTGAAATGTGTGTACTTTGATTTCTGTGCTTAGGTAAATATTCTTGCTTTAAGTGTTGTTTCTGTTGCGTTTAATTTTGTTTATGTAAGTGAAAGCTCAACAACTAATATGAACTTTTAATCATGGTCATAGTAGAAAAAATATAGTGGAGGTTGCTGTGGTCTCTGAGATAGTTGCAGGCCTTTACAAAGGTAGTTCTAACTTCTATTCTTTTGATGTGGTCTCTGTGATAGTTTTCATAATGTAGCTGTTTCTTGTTGCTTTTGTAGGGTTGATCTGGAAAAGAGACATGCAGAGAAGGAATGGGTAGAAAAGGGGCACATGCCTTCTGGTTATTTTCTTCCTCTTACTTTCCAAGTTTTAGTTGGTAGTTTCTTGCCTTTTATGAATGATTTTCTTAATGCCTTGTCTTTGCAATATGCGACATTTGACTTTGGACAACACCCAATAATTGACCTGTGGGTAGTGATCTATAACTATTGTTTTATTTGGCTTGTATGTTTTCCTGTTTACAGGACTTCTCAACCCACTGAACATGAAACTTCACTGCAATTAATGGTACCATGCATATGAAGAGTCCTAATTTACATGGCTTCTAAATCTTCTTCATGCGAAAGGGACTCACTCTTCTTCTTGGGCTTCTTAATTTGAAATTGGTCTTTATTATGTTTTCCAGCTAGGTATTGTTTTGATTTTGATTTTGGATTTGCAGGTATTCCAACTAGCAGCCCATCCACCTTTCCCAGCATCTTATATGGGTAAAATTTTGTTTTTTGTTTTTTGTTTTTTCTTCAAATTTATCTCTCTGTCTTTGTCTTTCATTTTGGTGAATGGTTGGAGATTTTATTTATTTATTTTAATGATGCATGAGGAATATATATATATATATATATATTCATTTTGGTGAATTATTTTTCAGGTCGGGGTAAAGAATTAGGCCAAGTACAAGACTAATATACTATTTTGGAGTCTATTTATTTGGCTACTTGAATTTGTAATATTTTCATTGTATCTGGAGATTCTTTTTTATTATTATTTATTATTATTATTATTATTATTATTATCATTATTATTATTATTACATAATGACTTGAGATTTTAGATTTATAATTATTGGTTATGTAAAGTGAATGTATTGAACAATACTTTCAATTACATGAATGAAGTTTATGTTAGCTTTGATGTAGTACCATTGAGAATAAGCTTTTAAAGTAAATTTGACTGTTATATCATAGTTTATGTGCCAATTGAAAGAATCATCCCATTAGCATTGTGAGTGGGCATTGTACCATAAAGTTGTATTTTCATGTTAGTGTATGCATATTGCCATGTTATTGACAGTCTTTTCAATTTTGAGAAAGTATATACAATATGTGATTTGTCAATGCAATTGACAAACAGGTAGTGTTATTTGCATTCTAGTCGTGCAATTGACAAACAAAGGTGTACTATTTGCATTCAAGTCGAGCAATTGCCATTATTTATGCACAATTAATTGAAAATGTAAATATAATATGTGATTTGTCAATGTAATTGACACACAGGTAGTGTAATTTGCATTCCAGTAGTGCAATTGACAATCAAAGTAGTCCTATTTGCATTTCAGTCTTGCAATAATCGTTATTTTTGCACAATTATGAAACCTAGAATCTTTCACTAATGATAAATCCTTCATAATTAATTGTATATTCAAAAGGTTGTAATCCATGTGCAAAAAAACTTTGTAGAATGCATAAAAACATTGCTTAATAGTAAGTGACCGGTTAAATGGGTTGCTCCAAGTTAAAAAAAGAAAAAAATAAAAGAGAAATATGAAAAGAAAGAAGGCTTTCCTGCGACTTCTATCTCTTCCTCTTCTTGGCACTTCTATCTCTTTTTCTTCGCACAACTCATGTCTCTTCTTCTTGATACAATCAGTCTTTTTCCCATGGTTGCTCTCTCTTCTTTAGTTGGGCTTGTTAAAATGAAGGTTTGATTATTCAAGAATAAAAGAAAGGTAGGGAAGAGAGAGTGTGAGAGAGAGAACAGAGAGAGTAGTAGAAGAAAGAAATCAAAGCTTTTGTATATTTCTCAATCATCTGAGCAGTACAATTGTAAGCTTATATATTCTTAGCTTTTGCTTACTGATTAAGCACTATTATTGACTAGCTTTTTTGATTTTCTAACCACTTCACATGATAGCACAGAGCTTCTTGGTTCTATTGTTGTTCTTTTTTTGTGGTAGATGTTAAGTGTTAGCTTATGTAATTTGTTTGATGTTACAGACTTATTATATATTGATGTCAAATATGATCGTGTATTGTTCTATCTCAATGGGTTCAATGAGTTAATTCCAAAGGAAGTGACCATAAGATGGAAAGGGCACTGATATATTGGCTCACCTAAGATGAAAAGGTAATAATGTAATTGACAAACAGTTAGTTGAAAATTGCAAACGAATAATGCAATTGACAAACAATTAGTTGTAAATTTTAAACGTGCAGTTATCAAATGTGTCTATGTTCTTCACTTTTGGCTTGGTTTTCCACATGGTTTCACTTCCCATTCCAAATAGTTTTGTAACCCGAAAGTGAATATTTTTTTTTGGCTCAAAAAACTCAATGTTGTATGTTGTAAATATGATTTTTGTCCTGTGTAAATATGTTGTAAACATGTATTTAAAAAAAAATTTAATTTAATTTTTTATTTTTTATTTTTAATCAAGTTAAGATAGGGCATTAGAGAAGTAAATTAGGTCCTTACATTGTAAACAAAAGGGTTTACAATAGTAAGGACTTGTATTACTCTGTTGGACATTTGTGTGTTCCATTATATTATAAAATCAATCCTTATTCGTGTAATATCGCAATTTACAAACATAAGGACATTTAGAACAATATAAAGGTAAAGTGGAACATTTGGAAGGTAAATTGGGTCCTTATACTTGTAAACATAGATGTTTACAATATTAAGGTCTCATATTACTCTATATTAGACAGTTATATTCCATAAGATTGTAAAACTCATCCTTAATCTTGTAATATCGTAATTTACAAAGATAAAGACATGTAGTACAATATTAAGGTAACTTAGGACATTAGGAAAGTAAATTGGCTCCTTATACTTGTAAACACGGATATTTACAATATTAAGGTCTCGTATTACTCTATGTTGGACAACTGTGTTCCATAAGATTATAAAATTCATCCTTAATCTTGTAATATCGTAATTTACAAAGATAAAGTCATCTAGTACAATATTAAGGTAACTTGGGACATTAGGAAAGTAAATTGGGTGCTTATACTTGTAAACACAAATGTTTACAATATTAAGGTCTCATATTACTCTATATTGGATAGATGTGTTCCATAGGATTGTAAAACCCATCCTTAATATTGTAATATTGTAATTTACAAGGATAAAGACATCTAGTACAATATTAAGGTAACTAGGGACATTAGGAAAGTAAAGTAGGTCCTTATACTTGTAAACACAAATATTTACAATATTAACGTGTCGTATTACTCTACTTTTGACATTTATGTTCCATGAGATTGTAAAATCCATCCTTAACCATTGTTTACTAGAATAAGGACCCAATTTACATCCCTAATGTCCACTATTACCAATCCTTTGTAATATGGATCCATATTCTTGTAAATATATGATTTACAACATTATGGATTTGGTGAACCCTAACGTTGTAATCCAGGAGCAAAACCTTGTAAATTGTTACCAAAAATTTGTAAGTTACGAGTTTAGGGATTCTTTTTACAATGTTTTGGTACCCTCGTATCCCAAAATTGTAAAATCATCCCTTAATCTTGTAAACCCTCATTTTACTAGAGTAAGGACCCCAATTTACATCCTCATGGTCCGTACTTACCTATTATTTGTAATTTGGATCCATATCCTTGTAAAATAAGGATTTACAATGTTAAGGATTGCGAGAACCCTAACGTTGTAATCGTGGTACAAAAACCTGTAAATCACTACCTAAATCGTGTAACTTACATGCGTATGGATCCATTTGACAACGTTTTGGTACCCTCGTATCCCAAAATTGTAAGATCGGCCTTTAATCTTGTAAACTCTTATTTTACTAGAATAAGGACCCAATTTACATCCTCATGGTCCAAACTTACCTATTCTTTATAATTTGGATCCATGTCCTTATAAAATAAGGATTTACAACATTAAGGATTATGAGAACCCTAATGTTGTAATCATGGTGCAAAAACCTGTAAAT